CGTCCATTGCTGCAATGGAAGCGCTCTGATCCCCGTTGGCGAATCTGCCATGCAATGAAGCCACTGGAAGCGGCTCCCGTTCTGGTGGAGGAGGCTTATTGAATAGTGGAAGATAAAATGTTTATTGTGTTGTACCTTTTGACTTTAGTTTTAAGATGTATTGTATAGTGAACAAGAATCCTCGGCTCTGTAAAGCTTATTTGGTTGAGCTTTATCAAATAAATTAATGAATAAAACAAACAATCACTCTCTTCTTTACACCTGAGACCTAATTTAAAACTAATGATGGAGCAACTGAAAAAAATTAACATATTTTTGGGAATTGTTTTATCTCACAACAGTCATCATGGTGGAGAGGTTCTCTTGCTTTAGAGAAACATTTTTTATTAAACAATTAAAAAAAACTCTTCAGAAATCAAGAGTTAAGGTGGAGAACTTGTTTATATTTCGTCATACATTCTTATTTCGGATACATTGGACATTAATTTTTAATGAGGCCAAGTTTGACTAAGTATGCAACACACAATATGTACATAGGACCGATATGACAGGTTATGAAAAAGGCACAAGAAGTTCACTAAACAGCTTAGCGTAGTTTACGTCAACCATGCGGTCGTGCCTGGTACACAGCCCCACCAATTTTTCGATGGGGTGACTCTAGTGAAAATGTTGGGAAGATGTTCTTTTGCTGTTGTTAGATGCACTCGCGATGAGTAGTTGAAAAGAAGATTGATGAAAATTCTGTAGATTTCCTTAAAAATGATGGAACGCGATGTAAGAAGATGGATTTAGATGCATAAAAAAATGGTAGCGTGAGATTTTCTGGCATATTAGGATTGAGATCCCCCTAGAAGTTTATTAAATAATTTAAGACGATGAATTCCAACTATTGCAAATTTGCTGTGCTGATTAACAATGTTGCTGTCTTCAGAAAAGTTGTGAATTATGGTGACATTGAAAACCTTGTAGAACATGTCGAATCGATTAGTTAAGATTTATGATGCAAAATAGTCGAAAAACTGATTTTAGGGTAGTCCAGACCATAATCTAGTTATATCTCGCTAGACTTATAATGTAGAAACATAAAGTCTCCAGCGAAGTTAAATTAAATTCATAGTTCTACAACTTTACAGAAGACATAATCCTATATTTTTGTAATTACAAAAAAAGTAAATTTTTCTAAGTGTAATACCACCTTAATAAAATAGTAAAGGTGACATTTCAGGCAACTTTTTCTAAGACACCTAACCGCTAAAACTTCGAGAAAGGTGAGAAATGAGTTTTGATAGCCTTTTTTCAGATTGGTCTCACTGTGTGTTGGCGTAAATAACTGCGTCGATTGAAATATTTTGAAATTCAATTCGTGAAAACATTTTAAAATCATGAATTCGAAATATACTATTGCGGCACTCCCTGTATCATGTACAAGTGTTATATTTTACACCACACGATAAATTGCCATGATTTTTCTAAGTCATGGAGATGCCTGATAATTTGTCAACAAATAAGATTATTTTGTTGTATTCAGGCAGAGCTCTCTAAAATTTAATTTTCATAATTGATGGAGTTACTGCCCGAGATGGATGAAGAGCTATAGTAAAATGAATTGGCATTGAAGGCAGGCATGTAAAATCATTTACATTCATTTCATGCAATCATTTACATTCATTTGCCTCTAACTTTTTTCTTCAACAGCAAACCGCAAAATGATGCATAGAGCTTTAGCAGGTTTTGTTATTAGCTACAAATTTTGTCCGTAACTCAAATCTGTGTCTCTTATGCATCACGAATTAGAGCGGGCAGAACTTGTTACTGTTTTTTAGTGAATGTAAAATACATTCACTGAAAAACAGTAGTGGCTTCTGTTCGCTCTGGTTCGTCATACATAAGAGATTCGGATTTCAGTTGTTGACAAAATTTGTAGGTAATAACAAAACCTACAAAAGCTTCATACATCATTTTGCGGAATTCTGTTGGTGAAAAAATTTAAGAGCAAATTAATGTAAATGAATGAACGAAATGAATGCAAATGATTTTCCATGCCTGATTGGAGGTATTGCATAAGCAAGAAAAATGCGGGGCATATCACAGCAATGATTTTTGAAATCTTGGATAAATGATTTATGAAAATAATTTTGCCTTCTTTTGCGCTGCTATTTTTTTCTCAAATTCTCCGGAAAATACAGATGTCAGATTTTGAAGATACAGCAACTTTGAAAATTTTGACCTTATGAGGTCACCGGTTTTGACTACTCCAAATGTATTACAAGCCATGTTCCTGTCTTGGGCATAGTTCTGGATAAAGCTGGAATTAGGGCGTAACAGCTTTTGTAAACATTGACTTCTTTCGATAATTTCTAGAAAGTCTAGGCTCGCCAATGCAAATCAACATCACCATCGGGTAGGGGAAGACTTCCTTGTGGGCGTGCCTTGGATTCCTAGAAATCACCTAGAGAAGTCATTGTTTACAAATGCTGTTACGCACTAATCCCAGCTCAATCTAGAGTTGCTCAGATGGACTATACCTATTCAAATGTAACAGTTCAGTTCAGAATCACTCACCAGGTGGCGCTACCCAAGTAACCATAGGCACGTTATTTCACCTTTTTGGCTATGAAGACTGACTAAAAGTAAATTGGTACTTACAAAAAGTCCAGTAATTCGTGATTCAATAAGTTTAAAAAGTTCATTAATGGTTGCATTACAGTACTTTTATTAAAACTTCAAAGTTACAGCACTAGATGGTTACATTTCTCCAGTTCGAACGAAATCCCGAACCTTCCTCTTGATGTACCCCATCAGCGCCTTTTGAAACTGCCCAATATTTCTCGATTGGTCGAAATTCCAGGCAATTCGGAGGATTCATTAGCTTGGAGACAAAATCGATCTTGTCGGCAGCATACCACGCCAGAACCACCTTGGAGTAGTGGCAGCTGGCCAAATTGGGCCAAAAGATGACTTTGCCCCTATGCTTGCGGATGAACGGCAATATTTACTCGCTTCTTCAGACATTCTTCGATGTAAACTTGGGATGTCATCGTCGAGGATGTGAAGAATGGTTTCGTTTTCAGGCCACAACTGCAAATCGCTTGCCAAATCATGGCCTTCTTCACGAGCTTGTCGGCAAACACGAACTTGAATCTTCCCGGCACATCCCCACGTCTAGTCGCGATGTAAAACTTTTGACCGGGAAGCTGCCTAAAATCGAGTTTGACGTATGTTTCGTCAAAAGACGGTCGTACAAGATCCTTGCAATTCTGCTTCATGTGCCGGTTCGGATGTTTACTGGCTTTGTACGACTTGTATCCTTCCCTGGCAAGGATGTTCCGCACCGTTTTAAAGTTGGCGTTGTACCTTCTGGTCACATCTCGGATCCAAAGACCGGAATTGGTTTTAACCCACCTCAACACCTTGCTGCGCAGCTGACGATCTTGGTTTCAGTTTTTTCGTTGGTCCACTGATTCATTTCCACACGTAGAGTTACCTTGTAGGTTCGACAAACTGTTGTTTTCGGCATCTTCAGCACTTTAGCCAGCTTGGAACCGGACCACTCCGGATTTTTCAGGTGTTTGTGCACAATATTTTTTCTTCTTCCGAGTTGCATTTGACGTTATTTCTGAACGCGATCGACTACTTTGATCAAACTTGCACCAGTTGTTCTCTATAGAAGTGTAAACAAACCACTGTCAAAGATTTTCGATCCCCAACACTAGAGGCGTGCTAGTGGCGCGCGAGGGGCGTACCAATTTACTTTTAGTCAGCCTTTATACAGCTGAAAACGGCTATTCCAGTTTTGGTAAGTTCTGATGAGGCCCGTATACATATAGCCAAAAAGGTGAAATAACGTGCCCATGATTACTTGGGTAGGTGATCATTCATTTTTAATTTGCTTTAACTTAACATCTTGACTAGATAGAAGGTTCCTGTGTTCGGAAAAGTTGTTCAGATGGACGAAACCTATTTTGGGGTAAACAGTTCAGTTCAGAATTTGCTCTAGTACACAACTTGTGACTTCATGGCGACACCTCTGGATCCTGCCATCCAGATCGGGACCGCAATTCCTACCGCTAGTGATCGTCGAATCATGCGATAATTATGCGATGTTAACGTTAACAAAATCGTGAAATCGTTCTCTTCCGACAAAAAATGTTGCTGTTCTTCTGAGCATTTCAGTTTTTGACAGCATTTTCTTTAACCAACCAAACTGTTTTTAAAATTCAGTTCAAAATTTATTTTATTTTTGACATATTGATGTGTAGTTCTAGATAGAGCTGGAATTAGGGCGTAACAGCTTTTTTTTGTAAACAATGACTTCTCTCGATGATTTCTAAAAAGTCAAGGCTCGCTTACGCAAATCAACATCACCATGGGATTTTGTGGGTTTGTGAGGGCGTGTCTTGAATTCCTTGAAATCATCGAGAGAAGTTATTGTTTACAAAAGCTGTTACGCCCTAATTCCAGCTATATCTAGAGTTATTCCCGTTATAACAGAGGAAGAAGAATACAATGACTTCACTTTTTGGCAACCATCTAGTTCGAAGTTCCACATATGTTATGAGATGACAGACCTGTCCCAGATTTGATGAAAATTTACAGGTATGTTTTACTTTGAGTTGATTAACATATGAAAATTAGTGTTTTAATCGATTATATGGTAAGCATGTTGTTAATAATGAAAGCTCTACAAACAAAGTAAACTTTCCCGTGCCGATTTATGTACATTAGTTAGATGTCGCAATGGGCTGACAAATTTAATTAAGTGAAAAATGTAGTAGCTGCATTCTCTTCAATGCTGGCAACCGCCATTTGGACCAGCAAAAATGAGTAATGCACCAAGTTATTTGAAAAGTTATGCAAAAGCATGAGTAGATATTTCTCCTAAGGAACAAAAAATGGCGAACTAGTACGTGTGTTAAAATAGCCTTGTGTGAGTAATAAAAATGGTGTATGCGAGTTTCGAGTTGAGTTGAGTTTAGCTGAGGAAGAGAGTAATTTATCACCTCGGCGTGTTTTGTATCGTACAGTCACGAAGTCATCTGGAAGAAGTTTTAACATAGGAAATAAAAAGAAGAAACATATAAGAAGAAGGTGAACACTTGAGAAACGTGAGTGAATTATTTCTACGCTGGGAGAAAAAGTTTTCAACCGGTTTTGTGTAGGTGGTTTTGTTGATGTTGTTGTTTTGACTTGCGAGGACGATTCCTGAAAGGACGATCATAATGATACACCAATCAAATCCGGCATTATGCTTTCAATTGCAGAGTAATATTCCATTTCCTGATCTCGAATGTACAATCTCGTTAAACGACATCCCAAGCCAACCTTTCCCACACACTTTCATATGTGCACTACATTGTATAGAAAACAACATAACTGCTTATGTCTCGTTCCGATGGAGCCAAGATAAAGGAGGGAGGAACAATCGCACCGTAAGCTGCTCCTCCCGAATCCTACTTGATTGTGACTGCTTTGCAAGAATAAGCGTCTTTCGAGCATATCTCCTTGATAGCGTCAGTGATTTTGTACTTGTCGTCTTAACCTATCCTCACGTTCTGGTTCTAGGGTGGCCAGCTTGCAGGATAATTCGAATGTCGAGCTTAGCCCAAGGCGTCAAGTCGTTACAAGTTCGCATAAATCTTGGGCAATATTCAAAAATCCACGATTTCACGGTTGTCCGGTAGCCCTACTCCACACCCCCACCCCCATCACTCTTGGTGGGAAAACCAAATCCCACTCCCTTCACCGCATGTATGCGATTTTTATGTCCCGTGTATGTCGTTTTGGCATCCTTCGAGCGTAGGAAAAAGAAAAGAAGATAAATTGCATTCCACGCTTTCTGCGCTTGCCGTACTGGCGAACGGCACAATTCGAAGAGCAGATCATCTCAACCGACAACGACGACGACTACGACGACGCTCATCATCATGCAAAACGAGTTATACCCGTTCGTCGTCGTCTTCCTTACGATAGAGTCCTGTGAATCGAAAGCTTCTGCTCCTGCTGAGGGCCATTCCGAGGAAAGGTTCCTCTCAAGTAAGAAGCATAGTTTAGACTCTTCCAGCTTCTTCTGGCGTTGCGGTGCAACTGGTGGGAAGGGGCTTTCGTAGAGCTAGGGAAAATAAACTTTTCCCTAAATTAAATTTGAAGCAAAATCGAAGGATGGGTGAGGGAGGGAATTTTCTTCCCTCTTCACTGAAGGGCATTTGGGGTTGGTAGAAAACGAAATCAAACAACAATTGAAAACATGTTAGACATTTTTCAGTTGAATGGATGTTGCTGCTTATGCCGAGATGTTTCTTTGTGGTAGCCCTTTGATATGTTTGGAAGGAAAATCTGCGTTGATTTAAGTCTTTGTCTTCTTCTTCTGCGCATTTTAAGCCTATTAGTTACCGCATATTAGCTTATTGCGTGCTTTCTACTTAGTGTTCCAGATGCACTCTGCCACAGGTATTAATTGAGAGCTTTCGATGCCTGTACTATTTTCGATCTTCAGTATAATCCAGGGAAGTCGAGAAATTTTCCAAACCGAAAAATTCCTAGGCCGGACCGGGAATCGAATCTAGTCACCACCAGCAAGGTCTTGCTTTGTAGTTGTGCCTCTACCGACTGAGCTAGTAGGAGGTAAGCCTTTGTGGAGAGCAATAAAATTTCAAAAATATCGTTTGTAAAATTCAATGAATGGAACTTCATCAAAACTGTTTAGAAACTGATGAAATCCAAACAATATTCGCTAATTGGGAAATAAAGGTTGGGCACGCACCTTACATAAGTTGCATGCCTATCATATTGAATTGACACTTACATCCAGGCTGTTAGTTACTCAAGGTAGCATGTAAATAAATCGTTCAAACTGTGATAAGCGGATTCCCATGATGGTATCAAATGCAACTTCAATTTAAAAAACAGCCATTCGCGAGCACTAGCCAAGCATTACTCAGGCTTGCACCTGCTGCCGATTCCTATTACTCTGGTTATGTTGGTGATGACTCCAAGCTTTCACACAGGATCCTGCAGCTCAGCCAATGCCAAGTATCGGGCGGGAAAATTCCTTAATTCTTGTGTTTAAATTTCCACACAAAAAAGAACGAAAACTTTCAAGACTGAAAGTTCCTAATTTGAAACAACTATTTGCCATTATGAGCGCGACGAAAGTTCGTCCGTTCATTGTCCCTACCCATCCATCCACAGCACCCGGACGGACCGGGAGGCAAACGTGCAAAGCTGAGAAAGTTACATAGAGTTGTTACAGTTTGAGTTTGGTTGTAATTGCGGTTCGTGGTTGCATGTCGAGTAACTTGTCTCGAAAGGAAATTTTAATAATTGATTGCAGACAATGCTTTCGTTTCGAACAATACTCATTCGAAACGATCTTATTTTTTCAATGGGTTCGAGATTCATTGAGTTTCAAGAGGGAATCGTCCTCGCAATGTCCTGTTGTTGTTCCTATACCTATACATTGGCATGACATTGTGAGTTTGACAATTAAGGGAAAGAACATGGAAGGATGAAGATTTGGTTCAATCAATTACGGGGCCAACAAATAACGAACGAACGATGATGAGATATACGCTGGGGAATGGAAAGTTGGTATACTTATCGGCTGGTTTATCAAAGAAATAGAAGAAAATAAAAGAATTAATTGCAGAAGTGATATTTACCGTCGTTACGTGCTTTGTGCAGGGTTTGGTACATCTTTTTGTACCACTTGGCTTGGTTGATTTCGTCCACTTCCTGTTGCGGGAAAGATTTTTAGTTATGAATCGTTCTATTGATTGGTAGATACAGTTTCATAAGAAGCCTATCTCAAGATATATAAATTTTGAAAATGGTTAACAGTAAACCTGGGCGTCTAATGCCTATGGTTAAGGGGGGAAAATTCCATTAAGTAATGCGAATACCTAACAAACAAAGAAATTCGTCAAATAGGATGACCCTTCTGGACACTGAACATTAAATTTTTAACCTTCAATGCATTCTTATCTTTTACCACATACAATACTTTGGAATAGTTTGCTTTTTAGCGTCCGTGTGTATTTTACCCACAAAGCCTTATTGATTCTCTACAACTTTTTCTCAGACACAATTTCGATGCAATCAACGTTTTTTGACTAATGCTTTATTTTTTTAAGAAAATTGTACACGCGGAAACTCTTACGCCCTTTTGAAAGATTGGTCGTGAGTCGATAAACTCTCTTAACATTCACGGTAAAAAAAAACATCATGTTCATGTAAAGTGATTTGCTGTTGAATTTGCACTACTTGCCAAACATTGCAATTCGATGTGCAAATCCCTTGGAAGAGATCATATCGAAGCACGATGAAATCAGCAGTAAATCACTTCATTTTAGATTGTATTGCACATTGTTGTTGTTGTGCTGTGCTTTGAAGTCGAAATGTCATTCATACTGGTATTAACAATCTATCACTTTAAGTTTAAATAATTTATCGTTGGATTAATTTTTGGCTAAAAATGGGTTTAAATAAATTTATAGTCTTTTTTATACTGCAAACCTTGTTATATGTTAATCAGAATATGACCATATCATATTACTACCCAGATCACATGTTTCCAAGTGACATTGAACAACATCGCAAGGCTTTTAGTAGAAGCAAGGCAAGACATTAAGCAATAAATTTGATAAGTTTGACACTGTTTTGTAATCGAAATTATCTGAATAATACACTTTTATTGACTACAGCAACAATTTTGTATTACTCACGCTCTAGAACGCAAATTATTTCGGGTGAAGATGGAGAATTATCGCTTCTCTCGCTTGACTTCATTTTTATTGACTTACCATCTTTGCGAGTAATGTTTTTCATGTGCGTTCTTGACATTTGCTTCCAAAAGCAAAACTAATCAAATTCAATGGATAAAAACACTGTTGCTAATTCAAATGATAATTATTTTGATTAAAGGTGTTATACAGTACATATTCATCAACAACAAATCACTTTGTTTCAAAACGCAAATAACTTGAAAATCAATGATAAATCACTCGCATAACAGACTGAGTTATGTGCAAGAGCATTTGGATTAGATGTAATAACTTTTTACCGTGTAGGAAAATACACACGGTATGAAAACAAGACTCAAAACCAAGTTTAAAAAACACAATGTTGGGTGCTATCATTTGAGGTCCGCCAATAAGTGAATCAGAAAAGTGACGTTGGTTCAAATTTACTCATTCATTGAGTAATATGAGATGAACTCAAATTTATGTTAATTTTCTGATAATCATTGCCTAGCTCAGAACGTAATATTTTTCACTATCAACTGGAATAGGACATTCCGCTTTTGTTTAAAAGTTACATGTTTGTAAATATTTTTCGATATATTTCATATAAATAAATCACGCTGCGATGCAAAGTAAAAAAGAACTCAATTTTCAGTTAAAGGTACACAACCGTCATGTTTCACCGTTGGGTAATTTTATCTTATTTTTGTATGAAAATCATAGCAATCTGCGCTGCTGTTGATGCTGTCATTTTTTTGTTCTCCAGCACTTCCATTCGTGCTCCATTAGTCCTCGCATTAGTCTTCGTTAGTATTTGGCAAATAATGACACGAAAAATTGTACCGAAAACCGCTTGGACTGTTCCATTGTTTAAAGAAATCATAATTTGTATTACTGTCGGTTGATTCGAATAAATTAAATTTGACTTTAGTTGCCATATATTCGTTGATTTCCATTCTAAAGAAAAGAAAATTACCCAAATTTAATTGGTATAAATTTTACCAGTTCCATTCGATTGATTGTTAGGTGATTTTCCATCAATGGATTTTTGATCAAGATTACTCAAAATTGAGTTTTCTTCTATAACTTAATTTTATCTAGCCCAACGGAAGCCCCGTGTTGAGTGAAAGGAACTCAGTTTTGGGTACTATTTCTTACCGTGATTATGCAAAAAAAAAATGTGGCTATGCACGCCGGAGAGCGCCGAGCTGAGTCGTTCGTTCATTTTCCTTTAGAATTCAACAGTTCCAGGCCAATTTAGATTTTCCCTCTCCGAATTCCATGAACTTTCGCATAATTGTTCACTTGGGGGAAAAACCTTGTTTATGCCGGAATCCGGCCATTTTGACTCTCGCCTAGTTTTTCAATAAATCATAGCATGAAAAAGGCGCATCTAACCGAAATGAAGTCTGAGTCAAAGATGCAGGAAAATGGATTGATTTTTCAGATAAAAACACGCTAAAACAATATCACAGATTTACGTAAAAAAAAAACAAAACTTCAATATCAAAAAAGCGCATTTATAATATTTTTGAATTTATGTCAATTTGAAAACTTGTACAAAATGCTAACTTAACATAACTGGACAGGAATTTTATCTAGCAGGAAAAAAGTAATATCGCTCTGGGATTGTATCGAATTGAGTTGACGTCTTGTGTGAAGTTTCTTGGATTAGTTAGGACTGCAATTTGGTGAGTAAAAATAGTTCTAGTTTTGGCCGCAAACTTCTTCTTACTTCAAAAGATAGAGGTTTGCTGTCTTGGGCAAAGTTGTAGAACGTAAAATTCCATGAAAATTTGCCCAAGTTATAAAAGCTGTACATCTTCAAGCAGCTGAGATCAGTGCTGCAAAATCTCGACAATACATGGTGATCAGTGTTGGCAAAATCATCAATCAAATGATATTTTTCCGCTCTCATACGCTCTCAATATCACGCGTGATATTTAGAACAAAATATCATGCTTGATATTGACTTTACAACCTCCTTTGATATTGCGAGACTATTCACATTGTGCAAAAATCAAGCTGAGAGTTGACTCGACAACAAAACGATTCCGTTGCACATCGTTTTCTTAGAAAGAGAAAGTATAGTTTGCAATCTCTTTTTACTCTTCACCGATGGCAGACACGAAGGGACTGCTGCCAGCCGTTATGGAAGTTTCGGTTGCGTTCGGGTGTAAAGCAAAGCTCATTAAACTCAATTTCACCACAGTTTGGTGAGATTTGCAGCTGGAGGGTTTTGTTAGCTTGATATTCCGAGCTGCGATATCACAGCTTGCAAAATCAACCGCAGTTGTTTGCTTGTTGATTTTTGTCTACGAAAATGAAGCGTGATCTTGGGCATTGGTGATATTTGATTTTTTGATATTTTCCCAACACTGATGGTGATATTCAAAATTCTGCTTCGGTCACTCATTTAAGCTAACATTCATCGTCAAGGCATACCATGTCAATTGTCAGTGACAATGCTGGATTTTTTAATCAGCTAAATTTGTAACGAAATTAATTGATAGGAGCAAAAAAAAAAAATACATGTAGCCGTTAAAGTGAAACAAGCATCTACGTCCTGAACTGCTTGGATAACAATGATGTGACACAGAATGAACGAAATTTAACGTTTTATTGCCAGGTGAATCTTCGTCATTGAAGAAAAAATGAATGAGATTTTGACAAAGCTTTTTTTGAGGATCAATTTTATCAGTGACTACGTGATAAACAATTTTGTCAATATCGCGCGAAAGTCTATCAGTGACAATGAAAAATCTCAGCACTGACTGAGATACACGAAGTTTTATAAAATTTGCCGGAAATTCATGTTTTTAGTTTTATATTTTGAACACTAGTTAAAAAGAATACTTTTATCGGAAGTGGGACATTTCATCGAAGTACGTTTCACCGAAGGTCACTTCGCCTAATGGATCATTTCGCCGAATGGGTCATTTTGCTGCAGAGCAAGCCATTTTCTATGGTTTTGAACTTTTCTCAATGCTTAGTAAATTTTGAATCAGTCTCGAAAAAACAGTAAGAATTTTTGATTTTTTCAACCTGGCAAGCTTTTCAAATGTAATGCTTCATTCTTTTGAACATGAGCAGTTCTTTTGAGTTGTACTGGTTTCAGAAATTTTTCAGTAATCAATATTTTTGATTTATACTAATGCTTTCTTCTTTTAAACATCAGCAGCTCTTTCGAGTTGTACTGAATTCGTTATTTTCTAAATAGTCAATATTTATAGGAATGCTTCCTTTTTTTAAACATGACGGGGGGTACCCCTCACCATCCCTCTCTAACTGGGGAGCTTGGTAAAGAGAGATGATCAACCCGATTCGTACCTTCCTCAAAGTTGTCCTTGCTCGCTTTCTACTCTCTATATACAATTTTCACACTGCCTTCCGTTAATGGAACTATCAACTCAATACTTTCATCTCCTCATCTATCGTATAAAAATGACTACTTCAAGTCTGTTATCTGACGATTAGAATTTTTTACTATGTAAATCGTTAACTTCACGCAGAAGTAATACAAAAAAAATAGTTAAAGTGAAATATTTTTGATTTAGATGATTGATTCCTTCATTCAAACATGACCATTTCTTTCAGTTTGATAAGTGATTAAAATTTGGCTTAATGACCCATTCGGCGAAATGTCCTTCGGCGAAACGTCCTTCGGCGAAACGTCCTTCGGCGAAACGTCCTTCGGCGAAACGGCAGCTCCCTTTTATCATTTTTATTTTAAGAATCTTGAGGTTTTATACCCATATTGGTCACTTTCTCCGGAGCATCCAGAAACAGTTTCAGGGTTATCATGACAAGATTTGGAAATGTAAAATCTACCATTGCAATGGTTTAAATAATCTTGAAGTTTGACACCCATATTGATATGGTTCCGGTCATATCCCAAATTGGCCACTTCCCCCGGGGCACCTAGAACCTGTTCCAAGGAAATCAGGGCAAGCTGTGGACTTGAAAAAGTTAACATTGGCAACGGATAGCAAA